TAACTTGTTTATTTCCGTTGGGAACATGTATGTGTGTGCACTATTTGGAGGCTTATCATAATATTTAATTATTAAGTTACATATCATGTAATTTAGGAAGTTGTAAAGGTCACTTTATGATGTGCTTGTTAAATTTGTGCATTCTGACCAAACATCTCCACTTTGATCTGCTCTTTCTTCCAGAAGACTTGTGCTTTCTATGGATGCAGCTTTGAAACCCGAAGTCTTGATGCCATATTCATTTTCAAGAGAAGAAGCTTTCTTCTGCCAAAAGAATTAAGTCCAAGTTTTTCAGTATCTATCTTTGCTGTAATGACTTTTAACCTTTAATATGTTAGCTGACACCTGCAGAGTTTGAGATGTTGCTGTTGTGTTTGTTCGGGTTTCCCACTTGTGAGTAACCTTTCTCTCTGTAGAATGATCCTATAAAATAAAGTCAGTCTTCACACTGCTGATGGACTCAGTGTCTGTTTGATATGGTGTAATATGTCATATGATTTTGCTCACATGGGACTGCGTTGACCTGATTTTGAAATGTGGTTATGGGGTTCTTGAATGTTTTGTTTTTGGGCCAGGTCAAATCTCTCTCTCCATCTATCTATCTATCTATCTATCTATCTATCTATCTATCTATCTATCTATCTATCTATCTATCTATCTATCTATCTATACATCTATCTATACATCTATCTATACAAATATATGTATATATATATGGTTTTTTTAATGTTTTTTTTATTCCCCTCTTTCATTGAGTCATTGTACTTAGTAGGATGGTGAGCCCCAGATTTGACTTTAGGTCAGTAAAGCTGGTCATATCAAGTGTGGAAACACACTTAAATAACCGAGCCTCGACAGCAACAAATCCCAGTTTCCTGGCAGTGATGAATGAATGTCAATGAGATGGATGGTCTTCCATGGCACTGGTCTGCTTCTGTTGAGCAGGAGCCATCATGTCGGGATGGCATCATGGCATAACAATCTTCCATTGCTCCTTTACAATAATGTGATAAACAACCTCTCGAAATGAGGTAAATGTGTCCTCTCCCGGTCCCTGCACCAGTGGCACAAAGGCGGCTGCCTCGGAAAACCAAAACTAACGTCTCTTCCCAAGGTTTGGTTAGAAATAACGAAGGCTGGAAGCAGTGAGGCGCAGTCTGTTGCGGTAGTTGTTTGTAAGTCCTTCTTTCATGCCTCTGGTTTCTTTAAACACGTACAAATCGAGGAGAGGCGGCTTCGCGCAGCTTATAAACGGGTTGAATGAGCGTCTGACAGTGACGCAGCAGTCTTTGCTCGCTACCTTAGACAGACCTCGGCTCAGGTTATTTCAGGACACGGTCACAGACTGGAGGGTGACACAAACAGTCCGAAGACACTCTGGTCAGGACGACACTATTATCCTGCATTAAAAACTACAATTCTGCAGGTCTCTGTGAAACGAAAGTAAGAAAACGCGTAAACAGCAATAAAAGACTGCTCGAATTCATTTTCCAATAACCTAAAACTCACATTTACGCACATCTACCAACAGCCGAAACGTGTTCAATCGTAAAATTCTGAAGCTGAACATGAATAAAAGTTGCAAGGAGGGTGCAGACAGGGTTGAAATGAACGAGCAGGGCGCCGTGGTTTGTTTTATGTGACAAAAGTTAAATCCCTTTTCCCTATTCAGACATTTATGGCAGTTTTTTCAACCTTTGTTTAACCAAGGTACTCTTTTATTCCTGGAAAAAATCATGAGGCACACAACCAAGCAAAAATGTTAAACAATGATACTCTGTAGCCGCCTCTATTAACAACATAATTATTCTTATCAAAGTATCTTGAACAGGAATGAAATAAACACAAAAATGTCTTTTGATCATATTTTATATTTCATCTTTCAAATTGCACTTAACATATCCACTTCAAAAATACACCTGAAACAGTGCGACAACAATGTGATCTTAAATATAAAGAGGTTGTACAAATTCACTGCAGGAATACAGAAAATAATTCTTATTCTGAAAGAAGCAATACGATTTGGGAAAAATGTCACTGTTACAATATGATGAGTCGCATGTACAAAATGCCGATATTAGTATATTTTACTCAGTATGAAACCTGTGCATGTTTGGATGAACACAGAGCTGATATCCTGGCAGGAATTGAAGAAAGACGCGCACAAAGCTCTTCCTCAACAGCTGTCGGTCTCTCTCTGTTTTTAGTTTTTATGGCAGTCAGGCTTGAGAAGCTCACTTCACATAGGTAAGTTGTGGAAAATGGGAGCAATCTCAAAATAGCTTTGTTTCCCAGAATGGGGAACTCCTTGGCAGTAGTCAACCAAAAACTGTACAAAGGTAAATCAGCAAAGTACAGCTTTAAGTCACAATTTTGTCTCAGTTCACTTCAGTTCCTAACCCAGTCAAGGCATTCAGTAAAGGCTGAGAAGAAATAAAATGATATCTTCTCCTCGAGAGTTTTTAAATGTGTACCTATTATTTCACAC